TGTCAAATATTAGGCAAGTATTCAGTCACCGCCGTAGCCCATTGCCGAAACTTCCACAAGTTGCTCCAAATTACAATATATATTTCTGTGTATGTGAAATATGTGAAATTTTTGCTTTTCTCATCTAGCTACTTTTTTCTATTTATGAGGAACTGGTTCTTCGAGCGCGGGTTCATCCGTTCTACTCTAAGCTACTTCAAATTACATTTTCTTTTTAGTACTTCCCACCAACAACTCAGTAGTTATAGTTTTTTTTTTTTTTTTTTTTGGACTAATATTTCTGGATAAATTTAAGCTGAATTTCAGAGAGAGGAGGAAAGGAAGTTTCTTTTAAACGTTTTAACGTGACATCTATAGAGAACACTACATTTGAGCAGATAGAAAATTTGTGAACATGCAGTTAATCAGAAAACCATGGTGCTACAAATAGCGACTCATAGACTAACAGGAAAGCAGGCGAACATCGACTCGAATACAATTGACCAGCCCGGCTCTTGCATCCTCAGACGAACGATTAAACGGTCATTAACAAATCCATTTCCTTCGATTAGCTTTTTGGAAAAAATGGCTCTTATTGCTCCCATTGTGTTCTGCAATTTCTCAACAAAACATGTTTCACTGCAAGTTTTCTTCCCCTATCAATCTTTACCTGTTGTTACGTGTTAAATTTTTTTTAAGGACAATGGTGCTATAGACCCCTTTCAGATATGACGTCATGACATGTGACCTCGCGAACTGGAGGACAAACAGTTGTAATCAAATAGCACATGCTTGAGGCTGAAGTGAATTTATTGTTGGATTGTTCCTGTCATGGTGAACTTTTGTGCGGTATTTGGTTGCTCAAACCGTTCTAACAGAGAAAAGGACAAAAGTTATTTTCGCATACCTGCAATTGTGACCAGATCGAACGCTAAAAAGCGAGCTTTAAGCATCGAACGTAGAGCGACTTGGCTCTCCAGGATCCGAAGAGAAGATCTAGGGGCTGATCCCAGTGTATTTCACAGAGTTTGCGGGGACCATTTTATTTCAGGTTTGTATAAATGTACTTTATGCCACAAATCACGAGGCATAATGATCGCTTCTGGTGATTTTGAACTTTATTTGCTCAGCTCTCGATTCCACACACTTCAGTTTTATGCCCACGATTGAAGGCGTTAAGCGTTGTCTTCGTTTGTATATGTTCCGAATGGCAGTTGTTTGATCTCATTCCCATCTACATAGGAAAACCGTCGTCGATTTATGATAAGGAAAACCCGGACTGGGCACCAAATCAGAATCTTGGTTATGATTTCCGTGGCGTTTCAGTGACTAGCAAACTTTNGCACCCATCCGTTCGCAAAATTTTGATAGCAATCCAAGCTCTTGTAGTTCATTAGTTGATCTTCAGTGTAAGGACTTTTCTTAAACAGGAGATACATTCCAACGTGTATGTATGTCACGTTCGGCCAAGAATCTACATCATCTATCCACTCGTTTCGCGGAATTTTGTAAGGATCTTCTGCGTCAATATCTTTCAACTTCTCTAAATACCTTTCCTTAGCGTCTTTCAACTGCAAGCCCTCGAAATACCCGGGTAAAAACCCTCGCTTTGTAGTGCCTCGCGCTGCCATTTGTAAACATACTTGAAGTTGTCCTCCAGTTCGCGAGATCACGTGTCATGACGTCACATCTGAAATGGGTCTATTGTTTGTGATCCTCGTTGGGTGGCTTAAATTGCGTTCGGCAAGTGTTTAGTTCTGGCGAGGATTTTTCGTTGGAAGAACTTTTGCCTTAAGGTGATTGAGCTCAAGAGATTTTCAAGACATAAATTGGGTCACACTGACCTCAAAGGTTCAGTTGTAACGACCACTTTCTTCTTCGTCTACTCTAACTTTTCATTTTATGATTTTGAAAGGCAGTGCTCGAAACATTTCGAAAATTCCATTTTAGCGCTTGCCTAGAGGCATTAATGAGGTAGCTGACTTTGATGACTCTCGGCAAAACACTTTCTAAAACTGACATACAAGAGAACATGAAAGCAAACTACTGCGCAGAAAAAAAAAGTTGAGATTTTATCACACTTTCTGTGTCACAAAGACTACTGCGACAAAGATGAAACAAATGCGGCTTGGTAATTACATAATACTTAAAGAATTTTAATTGGCTTGATTCCTTCGATTACATTCCTTAATAAAGGCTCTAAACTGCGGGATTCTTATAAAGAGAGTGCTCGCGTTCAACTCTGCCCTGCATGATTATGAAATTCTAGCCAAGCGTTATATTAATGTCGATCATTCAACAACAAATGTCTCAAAAGGTTTCCTCTATTGTCTCTTCTGTGGTTATTATTCAGTAGGCTCTGTTTTCTTGACACTAACTTATGAATTTATTGAGTGATGCTAAATCACCTTGCAACTGTATTCGAAGTAACTCTCGACAAACTAGAATAAGTGGTATTTGTTGGCAAAATGTACCTAATGTTATACCTCAACCATTCTACAATTGTATTCACGAAGGAAATAGAAACCAGTTTCCATTAAAGTAGCCGTTGGTAGGCGTAGCAAATTAAGTTAAGAGAAGAAATCTACTCCCCTAAATCACACTTTAATTTTCCACCTCATTCTCTTTCCCTAAAGCCTTGAAAGGACAAGTTACTCGAAATAAAGCGCGAACCATCGAGTTTGGATTCAACTTTGAGTTAGATTTCAAATTACAAATCGAGTTGAACTTCTGTTGAAGGAAAGAAATTTTTTTGGCCCAATGGGAACTGAATAAATAATGATTGTTATTTTTTCTCACTGTGGCGTAAACTAAAGAGGGTGTCAAGATACCTCAGACCTTGAAAATCAAAATTCACACCCAGAAAATCTAAGACCCCTAATTCCTTCTGTGCGCGATTTGAAATGTACTGTGCTCAACAATTTAAAACGTGCAGCATAGTACGGTTATGAATTACATCTTTTCAATGATATTTTTTTAGTAGAAAGAAGAGATCAAAACACATAATTAGCTCTTGTTCGTGAAATGAAATGAAATGAAACACTTAGGAAATTTGTCTATGAATGCATCTGCAATACTATTCACAACACAGTGACCGGATACGCGCGTTACCTTTGAAATAATTTCAGTGTATGGCTGACAAAAAACCTGCACAAGCAAAAAGGTTGGGGACCATAGATTACAAAGTTCAATATTGCCTAATGGTGACCAAAATCCGAAATATCCAAAAACAAAAACTCACCGAAACATACTTTGTAAGACGTTACTTTTCTTATATGAAAATGGATTAAACTTTACTTGAAAGATCATTCTCAGTTATAATTGACTAGCTCCTGCTTAAATGGCTGTTCCATGCGTGTGGAGGACAGCACAAACAGGCCGTTGGGACTTGGCAAAGTTTGACCACGAACGATTTAACAGTGGTTACCGCTTACCGCTTAATAATGGAATTAAAAATTACAGCAACTAAAGGGAACAAAACGTTAGGGGTTTTTACATCCTACCTCTCACTACAGGTTCGATCATGTCTAAAAACGTTACCACAATTCGAAGTCTATAACCCGAATTACGACAAAAATCGAACTTGAACTCAAACTCAAATATGTCCAGAAGGGGTGTTAGCGGAAAATGTTACCTTTCCTAAAAATCGTAACAGTAGTGGCAGAAGAAGCAGTAATGATGTAAAAATAACGCTCTCTCTTTTTCAAGCAGATACATGCCAGCCAGAAAAGTACCGATTCTCGAACTGATCAATGTTTTTAACAAGCTGGTAAAGCGATGAGTGGAAAATAATTATATTCTCGTTTCGTCCAAATTAATAGAGCAAAGAGGCACTTGTTTGTTTTTGGCCTGTTTCTTCTCAAGCTGAAGGAAGGAACATTACCTCAGTTGTAAATGGCACGTGTCATACTTGTTTCGACAGGTGTCTATAAACTTCAGTTGCCTCGTAAAAAAAAAAAAAATGGAACAGGAAAACCCAGAAGTGAATTAATGTGCAGGGTATTTGGCAATTTGTAGAGCGAAAAACAAACTAAAACCAATGAAGTGATGAATTCAAATGGGGGACAAGACTGTATATATCAATACGTTCAACTTTCTTGTTGTAAAAAAAAAATTTGGGATAGCTGAAAACTGCAATAAAATAACAACTGGAAAAATTACTTAGTACAGACTTAGCCATCTAATATCTCACATACCATCTCATATTCTAGAAACTCAAAGGGCACGCCAAGATATCCTCTCAAATATCCGCGAAAGAGCAGGTTACGATGGAACCAGTGTTGACAGACGTCTGATATAGTCAGTTTTGATCACAACGTAATCGTAGATACATATAAAAGCGTTGCTACAAATGTGTGCTTCCGGTGTCAGTAATTTTCATCTTAAGGCGCAATGATTTGCGTAACAAGTTCTATTGTTTTAGCCACAATAACCTTTTATTCAAACAAAGAAGACGCTTTTTTTTTGGTTGGAAACCTTGAACAATCACCTTTCATCTTCTTTTAATTGTGATTGTATTTTACGCGCCCTTCACACAGCGCTGCCCCATGTGCAGTCATGTCAAATTACAAAAACAAACCGATTGAGAAACTGATCCCCTCTGATCTTTTAGTCTATTATAATTCAAGATAAATTTTACTGCGTGAACAAAAGAAATATCCAATTTTTACGTTACAAACTGTGCGCGTCCGCTTGTGAGATGGTGTCTTGCGGAAAATTTGAAAAGGAGCCATAAACGGGAATAGAAAACAAAGCGTCCTTAAGGAGAATAATTATTTTCCGCTTACGAGAGCTTCTGTTAGGGGAGAATTAATGACACAATGACAGCCATTGTTCCAACATCATCATCCAACGTGAGAAATTTCTTAAAGAAAAACATGCCAGTGCAATAATCTGCGTTCAGTTTCGTACGCGTCAATTTTATGCGTCAGCATTTGGAAAAAAGGAAAAAAAAAATTCAAATCTTCGATAGCTACCTTCTATTTAACATTCGATGCTGCACTGCTCCCAAATGTTACATAATGAAGTTACGGCTAGTTTCCGACGGAAAATGTTTTGCGGGTCTCACAGTGGACTTAGAGATGCTTCTTGTTGATTTGAGGGAAAAGATTAAAAACGAGGTCCAGGAATTGATGCCTTCATCTTTCCGATTTCTTTTTAAAAATGTCCCACAGGGAGCAAATCAGGAATCACGGTTAATGCTGCGTTACTGCGTAGAAAATTCTGATGAAATCCAAGGTTTGTACACTCTACATTTCAAAGAACATATTGGTTTAGATCATGGAAAAAAAATTCGGATACCTATCTTAAACAGTCAAAGCACCTCGCTGCCGAGACTAAATATAGATTGGAGAAGGAGAGACAGAGCGAAGTGACAGACACTATTTCACGACGTTTACTCAGCAAAGTGCAAACGTTCCGCAAAGCCGAAATTAAAAGCCATCCTTGCTGGCTGGAAAGGGAGAGACGGAGGTATTGGAATATGAAAGCGGAAGAGTTACAAGTGTCAAACGAAACAATAAGTTTCAATAAAACGGAATTGCTAGGAGTGATAGATACAGCGTGGACTTTAAAAAAAGCCGAACTACTTCAAGTTAGGGCTTCGCAGCTCTAAGTTCTGCGAGAAAGATTTCAAACAGTTTATCCCCAAGAGTATGATACTGTCAAGAAGACGAGTAACAATGAATTAGCTCCTTCCGGAAATATCCATAAGAACGAAGAGATCATATCAAAGACCCTGTTTTTTATTCAAAAATAGAATGCAGAAGTATCCAAAGCCGTTCTAAAAACGAACTGAGCCCAGATAGAGGAGAGATTGCATCAGTACCTCTATGAATTGAAACGCGCAAGCGATGCTCTCTTCAAAGCCTTGAGAAACCAAGAAAGGCGACTGAAAAAATTTGAAAATTGTTGCTCATATTTTTCTGACGATAACGGAGTAACTGATCTAAATGACACAAGTTCAAGTTTTTCTGCGGAAAAAGTAGCAACTGTGTATGAAGAGGAAGGAGAATTTTGAAAAGTGGTGTTTCTCGNAGACATTAATTTTCTGAGATAAAAATGGATTAAACTTTACTTGAAAGATCATTCTCAGTTATAATTGACTAGCTCCTGCTTAAATGGCTGTTCCATGCGTGTGGAGGACAGCACAAACAGGCCGTTGGGACTTGGCAAAGTTTGACCACGAACGATTTAACAGTGGTTACCGCTTACCGCTTAATAATGGAATTAAAAATTACAGCAACTAAAGGGAACAAAACGTTAGGGGTTTTTACATCCTACCTCTCACTACAGGTTTGATCATGTCTAAAAACGTTACCACAATTCGAAGTCTATAACCCGAATTACGACAAAAATCGAACTTGAACTCAAACTCAAATATGTCCAGAAGGGGTGTTAGCGGAAAATGTTACCTTTCCTAAAAATCGTAACAGTAGTGGCAGAAGAAGCAGTAATGATGTAAAAATAACGCTCTCTCTTTTTCAAGCAGACACATGCCAGCCAGAAAAGTACCGATTCTCGAACTGATCAATGTTTTTAACAAGCTGGTAAAGCGATGAGTGGAAAATAATTATATTCTCGTTTCGTCCAAATTAATAGAGCAAAGAGGCACTTGTTTGTTTTTGGCCTGTTTCTTCTCAAGCTGAAGGAAGGAACATTACCTCAGTTGTAAATGGCACGTGTCATACTTGTTTCGACAGGTGTCTATAAACTTCAGTTGCCTCGTAAAAAAAAAAAAAATGGAACAGGAAAACCCAGAAGTGAATTAATGGGCAGGGTATTTGGCAATTTGTAGAGCGAAAAACAAACTAAAACCAATGAAGTGATGAATTCAAATGGGGGACAAGACTGTATATATCAATACGTTCAACTTTCTTGTTGTAAAAAAAAAATTTGGGATAGCTGAAAACTGCAATAAAATAACAACTGGAAAAATTACTTAGTACAGACTTAGCCATTGCACATACCTTTTGAATCAGAAATTGAAGTAAAGGCCAAGGGCACGCCAAGATATCCTCTCAAATATCCGCGAAAGAGCAGGTTACGATGGAACCAGTGTTGACAGACGTCTGATATAGTCAGTTTTGATCACAACGTAATCGTAGATACATATAAAAGCGTTGCTACAAATGTGTGCTTCCGGTGTCAGTAATTTTCATCTTAAGGCGCAATGATTTGCGTAACAAGTTCTATTGTTTTAGCCACAATAACCTTTTATTCAAACAAAGAAGACGCTTTTTTTTTGGTTGGAAACCTTGAACAATCACCTTTCATCTTCTTTTAATTGTGATTGTATTTTAAGCGCCCTTCACACAGCGCTGCCCCATGTGCAGTCATGTCAAATTACAAAAACAAACCGATTGAGAAACTGATCCCCTCTGATCTTTTAGTCTATTATAATTCAAGATAAATTTTACTGCGTGAACAAAAGAAATATCCAATTTTTACGTTACAAACTGTGCGCGTCCGCTTGTGAGATGGTGTCTTGCGGAAAATTTGAAAAGGAGCCATAAACGGGAATAGAAAACAAAGCGTCCTTAAGGAGAATAATTATTTTCCGCTTACGAGAGCTTCTGTTAGGGGAGAATTAATGACACAATGACAGCCATTGTTCCAACATCATCATCCAACGTGAGAAATTTCTTAAAGAAAAACATGCCAGTGCAATAATCTGCGTTCGGTTTCGTACGCGTCAATTTTATGCGTCAGCATTTGGAAAAAAGGAAAAAAAAATTCAAATCTTCGCTAGCTACCTTCTATTTAACATTCTATGCTGCACTGCTCCCAAATGTTACATAATGAAGTTACGGCTAGTTTCCGACGGAAAATGTTTTGCGGGTCTCACAGTGGACTTAGAGATGCTTCTTGTTGATTTGAGGGAAAAGATTAAAAACGAGGTCCAGGAATTGATGCCTTCATCTTTCCGATTTCTTTTTAAAAATGTCCCACAGGGAGCAAATCAGGAATCACGGTTAATGCTGCGTTACTGCGTAGAAAATTCTGATGAAATCCAAGGTTTGTACACTCTACATTTCAAAGAACATATTGGTTTAGATCATGGGAAAAAAATTCGGATACCTATCTTAAACAGTCAAAGCACCTCGCTGCCGAGACTAAATATAGATTGGAGAAGGAGAGACAGAGCGAAGTGACAGACACTATTTCACGACGTTTACTCAGCA